CCTCTAAACAGAAACAGCCCAACCTTGGAACAGTATAGCTGTTATGCACAATTATAATCCTGCAAATTGTATATACTTTTGATATCTAAGTGATCTGAATTGTACTGTAACTATTGTATTGAGGGTAAAATAAAATTACATTGGGTTAAAAGCGCTCACGCTGGCACGCGGAGCGTGCCAACTGTGGGGTTCTTAGTTCGAACCCTACGTGTTGTGTCCCGCAGCTGATCGGGTGTCACTGGATCCGGGTGTCCCGCCGGGTGTTGCTCCGGTTCATGTTCTGCGACTAGTCGCTTGGTTCCTTCTGACTGGCCATTTTACAAGATATGACTGTTAAGAACTCACAATTCCTTCCTCCTCTGAGTGTTTGCTATCTAAGTGATCTACACCAGATACCAGATCATAAATATTCAAATCCTGGCTGACAAAGCCACAGCAGCAACAAAATGCAGATACCAAGTTGACATGGATAGTAGCTTAGAGCATGTGTAACGTCGTAGAAGAAATTTTACAAGATATGACTTAAGAACTCACAATTCTCATAAGTGGACTGCAACTTGACAAAAACCGCCATCGCCGCCGCCTTGGGAGCTTGAATAAGACAACCATGAAGTCTGCACTGAAGGCTCAGTGATGAGCATCGAGGCCGATGACGCGGTGATGGGACTTGCCGTCGTCTGCCGCTGAGTGGCGCTGAGTGCCGCCGAGTCCCGTCTATTCTATAACCGTGGGCACTTCAATCAGATGTCCTATTTCGATGTTAAGTTTATAACATAGTTTTTAATGGATTGTGCCAGGCTATGTTCCCAATCCGTAATAAAATTGAAGTTATTAAGGAGCATGTGTAATGGTTGTAAAATTCAAGTTTGTCTTCTTGCGTCATATTTTGGAGTATTAATTATATAAAAGAATTTTGGTGTAAGATAAAGACACACAGAAGTCACTTTATTGGTCAAATGTGGATTATATATATATATATATATATATATATATAGTTCTAAAAAATTGATATCAAATGTATACTTTATACATCAATTATTTATTTTTAAAATTTTATTTAGAATTCTAAAACATAAAAAAATTAATAAGTATTTTTTATTAATTTTTATTGTGTGATGAATCTATATAATTCCAGAAATCTTCATAAACATTAAAATAAAAGAATTGTAGTTAGTAAAATTAATTTCTAAAATAAACTTGTAGACTTTAATAGATATAAGATTCAATTACTTTAGTATTTATATTTGATTCCCAAAATAGTGTGATACATGTTAACCAAAATTCTTGTCTAAAAATAAACCTTCCATTAAAAATTGAAATATGTGAATGTATTACTATTAATGAAAAAAATTGAAATATGTGAATGTATTACTATTAATGAAAAAAATTGAAATATGTGAATGTATTTTTTACTTTGTCAAAATATGTGAATTTTGATAAACAATGAAACATACTCAAACCCTAAAAATTAAAGACATGCAAATAAGCTTTTGGCAATGAACAAGAATTGTTATAAATCATTAGCAAGACTAACTATGCATATTATTTAATAAGCTTGGAAATTTAAAAAATTAAAAATTGTTCTTTTAGTGTCATATTGATATCATGCAATGGCCAAGTGGCATACATGAACAAAGCAATTTTACAACCAATATCAAAAAATTATAAATGTTTTGAGGCAAAATTTATGTGAAAAATCTTCATTTGTCAAAATAAAATCAAATAAAAAATGATGAGAATGAAATTTCAAAATTTGCTTGAAGTCAGTAGACAATTGTTTTATAAGCTAATATTCAAAGTTAGAGTATCTCTGTTGTTTATTTTGTAATCATCATTATAAAAAAAATCTATGTGGTATAATTATATTGATTGTTAAAAATATTTATCATTACATTACATTTACATATAATACTTGCTAAACTCTACATGCTAGAGCAGACTTTAAGTTAATTAATTAATTAATGATCAACAGTTGACATTGCTAAACATATTGAGTATTAGTGCTGTAACAGCCATAGAAACATTGAATACAAAATAGTGTTTGATGGGACAATAATTCTTATATAAAAATAAAAATACAAAAACAAAAAGAACCTGATTCTTTACTTTTTATTTATTTATTTTTAAACATTTATTTAACACATGTTTTGAAGTTCATTAACTAAAACACATAATCACAAAAATTCAAGATAATTAATTACGATGTTAGTGGAAAAATTATTTTAATGAAGAATAACCATTCACAAAATGATTTTGGTGATCCATTAAATTCAAGGAACACATATTAAAAAATAAGCTCAATAACATATAAAGACTTGAAAGATATTTATAATATTTCTCTGAATAATTATTTATATTTATAATTAAATATGCAAATTAAGATTCAGCACAATGAGATGACATTTAAGGCATCTGATTCATTTTTTATACAAATATAAAATAATAAATAAAAAAAATCCAAGTAATCCAAAAAACAGAATAAAACAAAAATAAAATTTTCTTGGTTATTAAGAAAAATTTATGACTTATTTAGTATTTACATAAATGAAGAACATCAAAGACAAATAAATAAATAAATAAATAAATAAATAGTCTATTAGATATTCTTATAAATAATATTGATTCTTGCAAGAATGAAGAACTTGCAAAATGAGATCTTAATTTGATTTGCTATTGTGGGAGCTCGCACTAAAATAATCACCCAGAAAACATGTCTGCATAATAAAGTGTTTTAAATTTAAATTTATTATTTGATTTACTGATTTGTAAATTCTTTTTTCATGTGATCCATTTTAAATAAATAATAGGTTTTTTTTATTTATCAAGCTTAAATTGGTTTTACCTTCAAATTGAAGAACAAGGTGAAAAGAAGATTTTTAAGAAAATACAAAAATAAAATAAAATAAAATATTACAAACAATGTTATTTACAGAAACAAGCTTCAATACCATAATCCATATTGAGTTTTCACCTCAAGGATAGGAGCTGGGAACGAGGAATGGAGAACAGGGAATAGAGAACTAGGAATGGAGGATAGAGAATTGGGGACATGGAACAGGAGTTGGGGACATGGAACAAGAGTTGGAGACATGGAACATGAGACAACATATGAGGGACATGGAACACGAGAAACACACGAAGGACATGGAACATGAGACAACACACGAGGGACATGGAACATGAGATGACACATGAGGGATATGGAACATGAGATGACACATGAGGGGCATGGAATGGAAGATGGCAAATAAAAGACATCAAACGAGAGACAGCAAATGGGGGACATGAAATGGGGATTGGGAATCAATGACATGGATGGGGGATAGAATGGATGAATCATGAAATGGCAAGAGGGTGTCGCATTAACAAAATGGGGATGTGGCTTTAATAACTTCCTATTTATATATTCATATACATATAAATAAATAAGTAAATAAGTAAATAATAATAATAAATCAATAATAATTCATGATATAAATATGTACATAGAGTTAATAATATTATAAATATAAAGTCAAAGCCATATATTAAATAACATCTCACAATCCATGAAATAGAACTAATAAGGAAATTTAGACTTAAGGTTTTTAGATGATATTTCAATAGTGATGATATCCCAAAATATTCCATAATATTTCAAAATATCACTGGATACTTCAATATCACCCCTCTTGCAATATCAATGATTTTAAAATCCAAATATCACAAGAAGGGCTAGTGAAATATCAAAAACTGTCTTACTTGCATTAATTGATTTTTTTTTACCTTTATTGCCTTGACTTTTTCAAATCACCAAAATATTAAGTGAGACTTCAAAAACTTGCAAGAGATAATAGAGTTTGAACAAAGGTATTTGGAAAGGTGATATTTTGAGTAATTAGTGATATTTGGATTTCCAAAAATCAAAATCATATGATATTTGGTTATCCAAAAATATTAAGTTTGAATCCCCTTAATAGGAGGGTTTAGACATGGTATTTTTAAATGATATTTCATCCATGATGAGATCTTGGAGTATCTAATGATATTTTGAAACTTCACTTGATACTTCACCTCACAAGGTGGATGATTTTGAGATCCAATATCAAAAGAGAGGCAAGTGAAATATCAAAAATTGCCCCACTTGCCTTAACTCTCTTCCTTCTTTGACTCCATACTAAGAGAGTATTAAAGTTTTTTTTATTATTATTTTTTTAAAGAAATACATAGTGCATGAGCCACTATGATAAAGGTTTCCACTTAGACACGGAGGAGATTTCATAATTAGGGATCAAACCGCCAATCTTGGCATTTGCCTTGAATACCTCAATACCATCAGTTGGTAGTTTAGGGTCATCTTGGACCTGCGTGTAATACAGTTTGAAACAAGGAATAATACAAGGGGGTACTAAAGTTTGAACATTGATGTTTTGGATTTGATAATGTGAGTGAACTTGAAAATATCAAGTGTTGAATCCTAGTTATTGGGTTTTACAAAATTGTCAAGTCTGAAATCCCCTTAATTTGTCATTTTCAAAAGCATTGCATGTTCACTTAACCTCTATATTTTCACTGGTCCACATTTGTTCTCACTTTCCATTCCTCCAAAGCCATCAAACCCCATTCCAAAGCAAAATTACAATAATCAATAAATTACTCATTTCTTAGAAAGTTCTACTCCAAGAAAGAATGGTATTTGATCCTCATTTCTCACAATTTCATACTCACCATTTTGCAAGGTGCGGATCGCACGGTGATGGCGTGTGACTGCGATGTGTGACGTGTACAAATCGAGGCTGACCAGCAACAAATTCCACGGAATTGTGGAAATAGGTCCAGAAGTGAATCTGCCCCATGACCAACGGTTTCGCTGGGCCCATGACCACGCTCACACACAATTGTACGAAACTCCCAGATCGAAGCGGAGGACGTGAAGCGTGTTTTTTTTAGCGTTGATTTACATGCTCTGCGTTTCTAGATTAGGTCTTCACATTGCAGAGAAAAAATTATAAGCACTGCCGACACGTGTGCTTGAATGTGTACTCGCAGGCGTTCAAGGGTTCTATGCGATGCTAAGATCATCTCCTGAATTGAGGACCAATCCGACGTCTCCCGCTCCACAGTATCAAATTAGATCAGGTGTGAGGTTTCCTGTGTGGCACGACGGGGAAAGCTTGTTGGTTTAAGATATTCGAGAGGAGTAGCGAGTCGGTTATGATTCGGGCTGTCCGGGCAGAGCTTCCGTTCGGCGATGCATTCGGTGCAAGAAGGTAAATGAGTTTTACGACCTCCCTCCGACGTTAATCGCAGTCATTAGGTTTTCTACCTCTTGCTGAGCCATATTAACTCAGGTCGACGTGCTTACCGGACTCCGTATGATGCGCCAGGTGTATTTGTGGGTCGTTACCGTGATCCATGCTGTAACCTTGGAAATACGTGCTAACGTGATAGCAGACGGAAATTTAAGGTGCAATGAGAAGTAACACTTCACCCATGTAAGAGGAATCCGTAAATGACGTCGGGAATCCTGAAAATGTTGGGAAAAGGCAGCAGAGACGAAGTGGTATTAGCCCGAAAACGTGGTCAACAAATGCTAGAATCGATGTGTGTACATGCAGAAGCTCCAGCACACGTGAAAATAACAGTAGAAACAGTGCACTCGATTATCTTCACATGTCTTCCCCCTTCAATCTTGCTGCTCAGGGTCAATTTTCCAACCCCTTGTCCTTCGCCAACATCTACGGCTTAATGTCTAAGGTCATCTTTCCTTTCATACTCTAGAGGCAGCAGCAATAAAAGATTATTCTCACATGAAATCCACGGAAAAAATCATCCCGACAAACTGTCATTTGTACATTAATGCAATCAATTAGTGTGTGCGATCGCATTTATTCATTTAGAAACTGAAACTTGTTGCTGTACAAAAAACTGTTTCGTGGGTATTGCATTCCAGAAGAATCCGTCGATACCTCTAGTCCGTTGCGAGTATTTTGATGCGGATGTCTTCATATGGCGAAATATATTCCCAGAAACTGAAATTAAACACTACAAACATTAAAGGAGTTGAAGCTCAACAGATTAGCCTTCCACACAGCAAAACTACGAGCAAACATTTCAGATGTCACAAACTACAGAAGATGTAGAAGCTAGTGCTCAAGGGTGTTAGGTGGATTGCGAATTAAATTTGCATCAGCGAGTCTTTTAATAGTCCTGAAAGATGCTAAAGCAAAGTAGTAGCATTCGGCATCTGTGTCATCAACAGATTGTGCCAAAATTGTGTCGCAAGAATATCATCATGCCCTAGCAAAAACAAGCAAACTCTGAACAGCTTAAACCAATGTTTTCATGTGAAAATGATGCTTAGTCAAGATATGCCTCCTGGTATTGGTAATTGAACCAGAACTGTCTGTAGTGTACGCTTGCATGACCTACACCAATTATCCGACATGAGTCAGCGAACGGACCTACAACATTGATCTACCCTACCATTCAAGATATGTTTGTTCTCTCAACCAATCAGGAGATTAGGTGCATTTAAAGCAACTTACTGATCATCGAGCTCGATGATAAGGAAGAAAGTTGAGAATACGTGGGTGTGGGACTACTGTGAAGAAAGTGCCGAGGCACCAGTAATGAGTCCAATTTGAACACACAATAGTGTTTCAGTTGATATTTTGTTTCTAAACAGGTAGCAACTTTACTTGAATTCACATGATTTCAAATTTGCAACTCACTTTGATGTTTGAGTAGGGCTTACAGGGATGATGGATATTATTGCTGTGAGCTAGGAGACATGGACAAGGTCGTTTCAAGATGTATTATTAAACGATGATATTGTTCCAGTAAGCCGATCATCGTAGAAGAACGTGTGTATACTTAAGAAGAATTGTATGTTAACAGTTGGAGAACTGGCAGATATAAGCAGCTGGGTTGAGAAGTGATAGACATGTGCGCTTATAACATGAGTAATTCTTCTCACGATACTCCGCCTTAACTTATGCGTTGGAGGTAGTGAGTTTTGAAGAACACACCTTTCAAGCAAGTATAAATTATGCCGCTCTCAGTTGATGCACAAAAGAAGTAAGGCAAAGAACGTGGGCGTGTCTTAGAAGAGATGAATGGGTTGAGTAAACAGCAACACCTCCAGAAATTGTTCCATTCTCAATAAATAAACACAGAAGTCCAAATACAACAGCCGACACACATAAGTCTCAGACACTTAAAAACGTCGCTCTGATGTTCATAAGCCACCTCTGACGTATAGTGCAAAAGAGCGACTCCAGAGAAGAGCTGTTTCTCCGCCAGGAGCTCATTCTTCCGAAGTGCGAGACAAAAACCCAAAAACCTGTCATCACAAATAACAGACCATAAAGAACTCCAGACAAAAATGTGTCGAAGCACCACAGGTGGCTATCCTACTTCAGGAACTGTGAAGGACGACGCTTTCCTCTGCACTGGAGCAAAGACCACGAAAAGACAATAACAAGAAACAAGTAGCAATATATCGCCGCCGGCGCGGCCTGCATGCGGGTCTCTCTGACAGCATACGACCTCCGACAGCAGCAGTCAAATCTCAAGTGGCCTTCCCAGTGAACAGTTGCAGATCTTCCAGTCCCAGACAGCATCATCCTTGAGTGTCTTTCCCTTCAGCAACCCCCATGTAGTAATCTTCTGAAGTGTTTCACCGACCCTACGACCAGAGCCTCCGAGAAACCACTCGCAGCCCTCCGGCTAGGAAGCAATGCCCAACCACTAGAGGTTTTAACTACTTTCAGCAGTCTAGTAGGCATTTTCACGGCCGCCCCTCCAGTTACCAGAGCCGGATCCTCCTCGGCCACCGCCACCGCCACCGCCACTCCCGTAGCCACCCCCTCCGCGGCTACCTCCATAACCACCACCACCTCCACCCTCGCGATCGTACGAGGACCGACTCCCGTAAGCACCACCACCTCCTGCACCGTAACCACCACCACCTCCTCCGCCGTAACCACCACCACCGTAACCACCACCCCCGCCCTGGCGATTGTTGTAACCACCGCCGCCGCCTCCTCCACTGCCTCCACCACGGGACTGCGCCTGGTTCACGGTGATGTTGCGTCCGTCAAGCTCCTTGCCATTCATGTCCTTGATGGCCTCGTTCATGGAGTTCTCATCAGCGAAGGTAACGAACCCGAACCCGCGAGACCTTCCGGTCTCTCGATCGGTGATTACTTTACACTGCACCACCTCGCCGAAAGGGCGGAACGCCTCCTCCAAACTACCGTCAGTAGTGGCCCATGCCAACCCTCCGACGAAGCACCGGAATTCTTCCCCCATCCTGACGAACTAAACCTCCGAATCAAAGCTAACAGTAACAAAAAGAGGCGCAGGAAGAGTCCCTGCCAACCTCGAGTCGCAAACCCTCTCGAACCCGGGACGAAGAACAGAAACGACTCTGCAAACATCCCCGGCAGAGACAAGATTATGAGCAGGGCGGGGGGGAATCCCTCGGCGCTCACGTCTTTCGGTAGCGAGCACCGTCCTGCGGGTTGGAGGGTGTGCCGTCAAGTGGTCGCGAAGGCTGCTCCTCTGCGCGCATCGTGGCCATCAGATCGGCATTGTTGTGACGAGAGATATTTTTGACGTCAGACGAGGGACAATTGGCCAGTTTAGAGGCTGAAGCTTAATTTTGATGGATGATGGATGAAGTTTGTAGAGTGTTTGCCACGTACTCACAGAGCTCACGGCTATAGGGGCCCTTTTATCCAAACCCGTTCCGATATTATGTACACTACGTTTTCTCAACGTTTTGTGAAATGTTTGTTTCAGATTTTATTGTGATTACAGTATTATTCTAATTGCTTTTTTCTGATGATCTAAAAACACTTAATTATATAAATTTGAATAATTAATTTTAATCATCCTAATGTGACAGAAAGATGATTTCATTGTTAAAAAGCATTTTTTTTTTCTTTTCTTTTTTTGTTTAATCAAATTTTTGGTTATTGACTGTAAGTTTGCCATACTAAATTACAAACGGTGATTGTGAGTGTATTCAGGAATATAAGTCCTTGCAAATAATGTTTTTAGACTCAAGTCACAGCAAGTATTTGACTGTATGGATTTTCATACAAATTAAAGAGGTTGATTTAGATTAGTTTGTTGTTAACATAACATGTACCCATGGGTTTGATAATAAAATTATATTTTAATGATCAATAGTTTTAGATATCTTTGGTGTTTGATGTGAAAAATCAATATATATTCAAATAAAAAATCAAAAAATATTTATAATTTAGAATGTTACATAATTCCTTTTTAATTTTAAGTTAAATTATCAATATCTGACACTGATTAAATTTATTTTTGTGAAGTTTTTAGGTAGTCAATGGTTTATGAATTGTGTATGAAATAGAGAAGTATCAAAAAAGAAACAAGTTATGTTGGAAGCGTATGCTTAAAAATAAAATCTCTGTAAAAAAATAAAAATAGCATGATTTATAAGTTTATTTCTAAAGAAATATATATATATATATATATATAACTGTTAATCATATATGCAAGAAAAAAGTGAAAGAAAGAGTAGAAAAATAATATCTTAAATATTAATAGATATATAGACATAAAAAAATAAAATTTAAAAAATTGAAAGTAATTTATGTAATTTTTTACAAAATAAATTATATATTTAATTTTTTTACATAAAAGAACGTAGAAGTATAGAAACAACACAATTATCTTTCTCATTGTTTAAGATTGTCTCTTTAAAGATTTCGAGAAAGATTGGGAGTAAAGTTTTAGTCCTATTGATAGAAGAGTATAAGCACAATCTTTCCAGCATAGAATATGCCCTAATTGGTGAAAATTTCAAATAAGTTATGGAACTTTTAGGAAGTTTAGTATCTCTAGCACATAACTTGAGTGAATTATAATTATTTATACATTTTATCAATATAAAATAAAATATTCATATATGTACGTACCCAATTAATTGTATGATTGTTCAACAACAGGTATCGTCATGTGGTTGAGGTGATGTGATAGTGTCAAAGATTTTAAATATAAGTTTTTGAGGTAAAAGAATTGATGGAAAAGAAAACTAATAATTTTAGAAATTTAAGATGGAAGATCTATTTGTATAAAAAAAAACACGTATTACCAGAAAAGAAGCATGCATGCTTGCAAGTCATACCAAGAGTGGAAAGAAATGAATCTAAAAGTTGTGATTCACAATTAAGTCTAATGGAACATTATGGAAATAAATTTAGACTCAAAATATGTTAAAAATAAGAATTAAATACGTATTCAAATCATTGCCACATCAGTCATGTCTAAAGTGATATTTGTATACATTGCATATATAAAAGAGTGATGATGTATAAGATTATTAAAACATTAATAATAAGAACATTTATGAGTTGATAAATGTTAATGTCAAATTTTAAAATGAAGATGATTATTGTAGTAATATTTATTATTTAAAACTTGAATTAAGATTTGATTAAAAGAAGAAAAAAAACAAATAGATCTATTTAAAAACAATAATTATAATTTTTAAAGCTACCAATACAAGAATGTTTTTATAAGAACAAAGTTTGATGTTTTTTTTTAAAAAAAAATACAATTTGTTTTGTTTGTTTGTTTTTTTGTTTTGTTTTTTTTTTGTTTTTTTTGTTTTTGTTTTGTTTTGTTTTTTTTTTTTTTTCCGTCTATTAAATTTTGTTGATTGTAGATGAGAAATAGAATAATAATTGACGAATTTTAAAGAAATTTCTTTGGTTACAAAGGACAAAAGGATTGGTAACTTAAATGTACATGCAAGATTTGAAATTATTTTTTAATTATAAAAACCCAAAAGATATAACTAAAATAAAGCATAAAAATAGATTTTAACAATAAGTAAGTACATTCAGATCTGCATAAAAGCAAAAAAATTGAATAAATTTTAAGAAATAATTACGTTATTAATAGTAAAGCACATTTGCAAAATTTGTGATTCTTCACCACTTCAAAATCTTAATTATATATTCCAAGGAATTCTTATGATAAAAGAACGTGTAGTGAGAAAACTGAATAATTCTAAATCAAACAACAAAGAAAATTATAAATCAAAGGAATTAATTATTTTTTCAAGCTTAAAATTCTTGTTAATTATTTAACTATTTTTTGTATTTGTTAAGAAAATAAGGTCGCATAACTTTTCAATCATATTCTATTCAAAAATAATAATTATATTAAACAATGCTAGAATAAAAAAGGATTTTTGGACCAATGTTGTAAATAATATTAGAATTTTGATAAAAAAAAATTCCATCAAATATTGTTAAATATATGACACTTCAAAAAAAATGTTGTGGTAGATTTCTAAGTTATAATAAGAGTATAGCTTGTTAATTATCAATTTATGTTCATAATTGGCAAGCTATGCATTCAAATTTAGATTCTATTACTAAAAAATACATCTTATTAGATTATTCAAAATCTACAAAAATATGCAAACTATGATATATGAATATAAAATAAAATGTTGCTAATGCTACTACAATTTTTGATATTGCCATCACTACTTACCATCCACGACATGTCATCATAAATATTTGCTAATATTACCACAAGCTACCTTAAACTTGCATTAACCACCACAATATATTTTGTAGAACATTAATATATACATCTTTAAAAAATGTGCACTTTTATATTATAGTGTGCATTAGCGGTTTTCATTAAGTGCATTGTAGTGTGCCATACAAATTAAGAGCATATTGTGGTGGCTTTAGCAAACATTGTGATGCAATGTTGTCAATGGCAAGTTGTGATGGCAGTAGCAAAAATTGTGTTAACATTTGCAACATCATATTTATATTCATATTTTATAATTTTTACATTAATAAATAGTAAGTAATGATATTTTTAGATATGTTAAAAATTAAGTTATCATATGTTAATTTATTAGTCATATTTTACTTTAATAATAAGAAGCAATATGATTAGTAATGAATAAAAAATATCATGCCAAAATAGAATAATCAATACAAAATAAGATATACCAAATTACCTTTTGTGCTTTTATATCAATGGTAAATGTTCATAAATCTATAAATTGGTGTCTTAAAATATTTACATAGTTAAAAAATATTTCATACCTTAACATGTAAATAAAATTTAGTGATAATAAATAAATTAAAATTCCAAATCAGATATTTTTTATAAAAACTTAATAATTAGTTTGCACAATATAATATAAGAGCATTTTTTATCATAAAGAATATCAAGACTTTCAAATACACACACACACACACACACATATATATATATATATATATATATATATATATATATATATTTAAAGATTATATATTTTTGAAATAAAAAGTCCTAATTAAATAAAAATAATCAGATTTATATATTTAAATCTTTAATATTCTCTCTTTTAATAATAAAAACATGATAAATATATATATCTCGTATTTTTAATCTTAACTTTATTTACAAAAATATATACAAAAAAAAACTTGTTTGTTGTAATCTTACTTTAGCCATAAAATATCTCAATATTATCATTTTTACTGATGTTGTGAACCTGAATTAAATATTATGAATAAAAATAAACAAGTGGATTTATAAATTAAAATGTAATTAAAATGAATGAATTGATTAAAAAATCTTAAAACTTTAAAACTTGAGTATGATTATTCATTAATTTAAATATAGAGTTTCAATAAATATTTATATCTATAACTTGAAAAATAAAAATAAAAATATTTTTTAATCTAAATTTTCATTTTAATTTTAATAAAGTTAAGTTACTAATCCTTCATTAGAGTTAGATTTAGAATTATCATTTGATTCAAGCGCTTAAAATTACTTTGGTCTAAACTTTCAAAAGTTGATAAATATTTGAATTTTTCCTCTTGTTCAATATTAAAGTCCTGAGTATAATAAGGTGGAACATTCAAACAGAAATTAAATTAACTAATTTTACTTTTTTGAATATTATAAAGCTTTGTATTATTTTTTAATTTGATTTATTGGTTACGTAATTGATCACATCATGTCTATTAAGAAGACAAAGAATGAAAAAAAAGAAAAAGAAAAAAAGAGTCTAAAAAAGATTAAATAATTTTGAATTTTGAACTAAAAAATTATAACTAACAAAAAAAATTACAAAAATATTTTTATTTGATTTTTATATTAAAAAAATCATTATTTTTCTGAATTTATTTAATTTAAGAATACTATATCAAGTTTTAAAAAAATCAGTGCTTTAACATTTAGAGAAGTTTTATATTCTTTTCATGTTGCATAGTATTCTAAAAAATTTATAAGATATTTAATCAATAACTTATTTTAAATAAAAAATTTAATAGTAATATTTGTATTTGTAGAATAGGTAAATAAACTTTGTGAAAAGTTACTGGTTGGTTATTGATAACCTTGAGAATTAGACTGATGGTTAGGTAGTTTAGTTGGTAATAGTAGGTTATTAGTGAAATA